GTCAAACTCTATTTTTACTGTGTTATATCGTTTTTAAAGCATTTCACTGTTTGATTCCTAAAATCTTTATCATCTCACCAATTTGATGGTTTAGCAAATGGTTGATTCAGTAAAAACTCAACTCTGAACTTCATTGTATTTGAAGACACAGTCATAAAGCCGTCCTCCGAGAAACTCTGCTACTTCAAGATGCTTCACCTGCATAACGAAAGGATAGACCTCCAATGAGAAATCAGAAATAAGCTTTTTTCCCATTAATCCAATGAAGTAAAAAAGGAGAATAACATGACACATAGTGAAACTACTACCATTCCCATCTTAAGAGAATCACATTTGAACTGAGCATAAAGGTTTGTCTCTATTCCACGACCCTAATGTGAACAGCCAAGAAGTCAGTTAACAAAGCCAAGATTAGTTAAATTGCGCTTCACTTTCACACTATAAATGGACCTTACCATGCCTTCTATGATGACTAAGTCTGCATCAGATGAAAGGTCAGCAAGCTCTTGTGATACTCTTGAGAGATCGATAACCTGAAACCAATTTTCGACAGGGAGAATAAAAAGACTTAGAATTTGGATAAACTCATAATTTCTCTTTTTGAGAGCTTTTAATGTCTTACCGCTAAGTCGTTCCCTGAATTTGCAACCACAAGCTTTGAAGTATCAACGCCCATCAATTGGCCATTTTCATCCTTCAACTGGTAAATTATGACCAATAATAAATCAGATTCACTTTTTTTATTTTTTTTTGTAAAAGCTGCAAAATATCAGTAATTAACTTCATTCATCACCTGTGATAAGATCTCTGTCAGCTCGGTATATGTTACATCGTTAATAGCTGGCAGCTCGTTAGCAGCCAACACCACCTTCAAGGAGAAAGAAGAAGAGGAAGAACAGTTTAGAGTTACTCTGCACCATAACTTTTGACCAGAAAACTCATTTTTAGAGACTGTGAAAGGAAGAGTCAGTCATAGTCAAAAGTACCTGCATTCCTCGACGAAGCATCTCTCTTGCCAATGGCAAAATACCCAAAATTATGTCTGCACCAGAATTGTCAACAAAAATTACTGCCTGTCAAGAAACGGGAGAACACAAACAATTCTTTTTGTCAAGCGGTCGACCTCTGAAGTCTGAACAAAGCATTAGATTAAGGAGTGACCTTCTTCCAACGCTTGTTGATCCAATTGGCTTGGAAGTTGTCCAAGTCATCAATGACCCATGGTCGTGGAACCAAGTTTTGACAGCTAGCCAAGAAAGATATACCATCCCTTGAGAAAACCTCAGCAAGCTTTCATGATGTGAAAAGACAAGTACCCTTAAATTAAGACATGCTTCAAGTGGGAGAAACAAAAGAGAAGCAACCAAAAAAGAAACCATCTTCGTACAAGAAAAGAGATACCTGTGCAGAACCCAGATCAAAGACGTTTCCAGCAAAAATCCCTCTCACCAAGTTTTCTAAGCGTTTTCCTTCATCTTCAATAGCATCACTCAGACTGACAACTTCAGGAAATAGTGATATTGCCTTTGCATTCTCCTCATCCTAATTGAATTCATCGTTGAACTTGTCTACTTAGAGGGATAGTATATGAGATTTGGTGCGTCTATCTGAAAACCTCAGCAGCCCTCGAAAAGGAATTCATACCTTCACTTTCTTGAATATGTCTCTAAATCCTAACTCTCTGAGTATTTGCTCACGAACTCGGCCAAGAAGCTGAAAACAAGCCAAAATAATCCATGAAAACAAATCTCACTACACCAGCGGAAATGATCATCAAGTGTTTGGACTTACAACGCCATCTGGTGGCCCCCCATGGCTCTCTGGATCGTTCTTCCAGTCTTCAAGAATTCCGGCATATCTTCCAGGTTCAAAGTAAGACATATTAAACGCAGATCGAAAGACTTAAACACTATTGAAGGTCCCTTCTGAGATTATGATAAAACGTAAACCGTATGACACAAAACTCGTCTAGCTAATAAAGGTGACATTGGCAAAAGATTTCCTACGAACCAAACCTTGAGAATACACAAAAGAATGTACCTTTCTGCAAAAATTTTAGCTTTAGCAGGAGCATCTAGAACCGTAGCATCGCTCTCTGCACGTTTCCTGCAAATGAAACAGCTTTAGAACATTGAAATTCTCTAGTTATATCAAGATTCGAATTCCTCATGTCACTAAGTCAAAATTAAAGAACCCATTAAGTAACTAGCAAGGACAGTTTCCTGAGAAACCTTAATACAGTACTATATGAGAAGCAATTATTGGTAACAAAATCAAAGCTTGATCCGACCCATGAACATGAACCAATCCCCATTGACATCACTGGCTACCAAATTTTGGTCAATGTAAAGAGAAAGCAAAAGATCGAAACTTGAAAGAAGGGATGGAATTGGCGAAGACATTGATCCATGAGATTTCAGTGGGAGTTGCTTTCTTTGGATCATCGGAAGGGAATCTGTAAGGAATGGTGCAAGCCCTGTAGTTGGTCGGTAACAGTGGAAACGGAATCATCTCTGAATCGCTCTCCGTTTCGGAAGAAAAAGCGTCTATAGAACCGAGTCCGTCAAATGATTAAAAAAATCTGATTCCACAGCCACACGAATGACTGTTTCGGGTTTGGTTTTTGTTTCGTTAAATTAAAAGTAGCCAAGTTCCAAACTTTGTGGCGTTTCTTGAGTTTGTACAGACAAAGAGATTTGACTTTTCGACAACAAATAAGCCATCTTTGCCAAGTAATCATGTTTAGAAAAGAAAAAGGAAAAAAGTAAGTTAAAATCATCTAATTTCAAGGGCAAAATCAGTGGGAGGGACGAACAAAGATTAAAC